GTCTCAAGGCGGATTTCCAATACAGTGATTCTTCAAACTTTTGATCTCCCTATGGACACTAGTTACAGAAAATGGGATAAAGTGTACAAATTGATTAAGGGAAGGAAGTTTAAAGAAATATGCAATCTACGATAAATAAAATCAGAAATACTTGCAGTGTCACGGGAAAATGTTTCAATAATGGACGTTTTGGTGTCCAAAGAACCAAATTGTTTATCAGACATAGGTTTATTCTGTATTTGAATGAGATTAGGAACAATATTTGTCGTAAGAGATTCCTGACTATCAGGGTTTCCAGAGATGCATACGAGCAATATCCTGTTCTGTTGCCACTGAAAAGCACAAAGTGGTATATATATTTCTGTATGTTTAACACCAGCTTGGGGAAGAGCGTGGTGCCATCGGCAAAACAAGAATAACAGTAGCAATAACGGGAAGGGGGGTTTGGGTACAGAACACGGTAAAGAAGCGAAAAATATTAAAATGAAAAGTTACAGATAAATAGGAAAATAATTGTTCTACGTTTCACCGCATAATTTTTGAAATCGTTGTGTGTTCATCGTTTTTTATGAGGAATAAGACTTCAAAGTGCAAACTATACAGCATTTGCAGTATTGTATTTGCAGTACAGTCATTTTATCGGAGTATGATTGGTTTAGTTTAATCATATTAAATTATATATACATGCATATATATATATATACCTATATACGACAGAATTACACTTCCTTGATGAAAACGGTTTTTACTTTGGCTTTACGAGTTCATTTCGAGAGTGTTTTGCTAATTTCATCTGAACTTTCCTGCAGTTTGTTAAACACAATTCTAGATTCACCTTCAAAGAGACTTTCCTTACTCTGAGAACCAACCTGACTGCAATAGCATGCTGGTTTTCACCACATGCAAACAGAGTTTAAACGATTGCTCGACATAAATTGCCCATAATCAGTATTGATTCTTTGTGTTTCCGATATATGAAATGTTGATGGACCAAATTATCTGTACTAAGAATTCGTTTGTCATTGGTCAACTTTTACTTAAAGGTTCTAGTAGAGATATTTGAGCTATCATCTATTATCGTCTGTGACAGCTGTCTTCGCGTTACATGAGAATGTTTATTCAAGTCATCCAATTGATAAGAGTGTCATGGATTTATTTTGAAGCTAAAATTTTATAAATTCTGTAATTTCGCAAAACCGGCAATACATCGTAGCACCGACGAAAAAAGTTCACCAAATTTTCCGGTTTCATCGAAATAAATGAAGACACATTTGGGGTGCAGGTGAGTGGTGGACAAAAACTTATGTTCTCCAGCGATCTGTGGTCGGCACCCCAGGTTAATCCCGACGGCATTTGTCACGAAGCTCCAGGGACTTACACTGCCGCAAAAGAATAGCCAATCTCCCATGAAAAGTTTCAGCTTCACATTGCTTATCGCTGGTGGGATCTAACAGTATGTTATCATTTGGCCAAACAAGTGTCGTCTTCTTCTGGTATTGAATTCAAGTTAAAGTGCCCTAAAACCCTAGAAATTTGTTGTTAATTTGGCACCCAAAGACCTATTGAGGATGTGCAACTATTTTGCAATTAACTAAGCTTGATGAGTTTTCGCTGAAGTACAGGAAATAATTCAGCGTGCATATATTTTGTTCAATCAAGGTCCCCTGTCCTTAACTGCGGCAAGTGTGCAGAACAGGATAGCAAATGACGTACCGCTGAATTGTTTTGTTCATTTGCTTGACACAAACCCCCTTTTCAGTCTTAGGAAACGCATTCGGTCTAGGAGGAAAAATCAGACGAATAATAAAGGCACTACCTTCATGTTATCCGATTGCTTTGTTACATTTGAAGTCGCTCCCGAACACGAATACAGATAATGAAATGTCTTTTATTCTTTGAAACAATATCTTTTTAATTCCTTTTTCAATTTATTGAATATAGAAATGTACGGTCAACTTTCAGTAAGGGGGCTGCGGCCATACAAATTCTTTCTGGGTAAAATTCAGATATATGGAAGGCGGGCGGCAGTGGAGCGGTTCGAACCCGGGACTCCCAGGTCACTAGGTGTTGACCTAACCACTTTGCCACCACCACCTGCAGGTTTGTGGGAATGCGGTAGAGATGCGAATTCCACACTGGACATCAATTCCTCGGGCGCAAGTGCCAACCTAATTTCTTGTATTCTACAGAACATGTTCCCTTAGACTCCAGATATCTTATTAAGGTTCTGTCAACATATATAGATTTCCGGAGGAACACATTTCTGAAAAATTTTATCGCTGCATCCCAGAATTTTTCCTTTTTTACGAAGTGACATAACTTTCTAAAGTTTCAGGTAAAGGAAACCCCCATTGTGATAACGTTCGCTTGCTAGAACCGATAAGGTATCGGAGTTGATGATTTATTCACAAAGAATTTTGAGCATAAAATTCCGAACCGTATCGTATGTATAATACGACAAGTATGACAAATACGGTCACATCCTCGACAATCTCCGCTAATCGTCAGAGACCGTTAACCGATTACGCATGAGGGACAGGATCGTAACATCCGAAGTACCCCATTTGTTGAATAGTACTTAAAATATTTCTTCGCACACTACCCAGGATGGGAATTGACGAAGGACACCGGTGAATTTAGTTGTGCTCTATCATATGGATACAGTAAATAGTGATAATCAGCTATCCCCTATTAGGTTTATGGTGTACATAAGATCAAATAAAGGGTAATTTTCACCTCATCGCGTGTGTTTTCTAAGGTCAGGAAATCATTAAATGTTTAGCTTCACAAGCGATATAACAATGAAACTTGTGTGGCGACTCTAATGACATAACATATCATTGCCAAGAAAGGTTGCAGATTAATCGCAAACGTTTCAAAAGTAGTTTGAACCTTTAATGTAGTTTGAGCTTTCCGTTTATTCTAACAGCTTCTCAGATGAGTCCCTTGTGCATCAGACTACTGAATCATACATGTTTGTTCCACTTTGTATCCTTTGCTCGAAGTGTATCATCTCCATTTTTCGTGCACATTTTAACTGCAGGGAGTTGACCAATTAGTAACGCATGTTTCATGAATTTTTTTCAAAGCTTGTAACAAAATGCCATTCCTACTGTTTGACTACTGTCAAGCTTTCAAGTAGCCAAATTAAAAATACGGTTCATATACATTTAAAAAGGTTTCGAAAATGGGAACGCAGGCTTTCCACTGAGATGAACAACACATTTTATTTCACAATCTTAATTCACCCGTGATCTTTATTAATTGGTACCCTGCAATTTATCACACACAAAATATATTATTATTATTATTAATATTCTTATTATATTATGAACTTCTGGTGTCATGTGATGAATCACCCAGAAAAGTTCTCAGGAACCAAGGTAGTGAAAACGATCGTCATTCACAAAATCAAATGCGTGAAGTGCAGTATATGGTTCAACTTTCATTCATCTTTCCCCTGAAACCCAAAGTGAAAAGAATTAAATAAAATGTTTGCATTATCCAAAAGTTCTTTCTAATATATGTTTCGAAACGACAGTACTATGAAGCGTAGTTCATTCCAAAGACGAAATTCATGAACTTTGATCTTCGAAATTCCCGAAGGTGTGTGCCTGGGTTCCGGATCGCAATGTATCGACGGTAACGGCAGAGTTCAATGAAGCGGGTGTAAAACAACGTGCATATGCGTTGCGTGTTTTGTGTGTTTACATATTGTGTGCGTGTGCGTGGGTGGGTGTGTTTATGCAACAGATTTGGCTCATTGCAGTCAATGCATGTGGTTACTCATTTTGGAAGAGTGGACATTTCTTTCGACCCGAATTTTCATTTGACGGTCTCCTTGTTATTTTTGAGGTACATTACCCTAAATGCATTCGGCCTTCATCCTAGTTTCGGGGGACATGCCAGTGCGTTCATTTTTGCAGAATGCTTAAACTGATGAATAAAACATCTGATTGGTTACAGGAACGGTTTCGAATGAGCTGTGACCGATGAAATCATTTGAGGTATCACTGGTCGACCTACGGGTCGTGGACTGCGCTGAGAGAGGTTATAATCCATCGATGGAGGAGGCATCGTTATCTGGGTCCCAAACGTGGGCGTCAAATCAGACAGCGGATATCCACCTTCTTCGTACACATTCCAACCAGGTTTCTTATGCAGAGTTGTCGTGTATGGAATAATTGCACCGGAGTCGGGCTCCAAGACCGCGGATAAGAGTGTATCTTTATTGAGCGAAGTTCGATGTGTTCCTGAATGCATTATATGGGCTTTGCGCAAATGAAGAATACATTGTTTAGGGTTAGATCGCTTAGTATGAGAGCAGAATCGAACTACAGATTGTTAGATAAATATGCACAAGAAATATTATTGCAGACGAAATAGGCAGAGAATGCGGTTAATGGTGAGCAAAGTAAAATTGTGAAAAGACATGGAAACGCCATTCGAGTTCCTCATACTCGGGTTAATATAGCTTTGTTATCTTTTATCACGGTGTTGAAATAAATAAGGTGTAATTATGATATCCATGGATATGCTCGTTATTGAAAAAGGTAAAATAAAACGTGCTAGAGTGTTTTCGAAAGCGCGTGCTTATGGAAATATCTTTTCCTTCGCGCCATTGTGTTTGAAATCAAGACATGCATATGCGAAAAACAATTCAAGTAATTGCATTGGAAATAGCGATGTACTAAAATAACTGAATGAATACATTTTCATGGATAAATAAGAATTACCGAATGTGAGTCTCTTGATGACCGTAAAACTTGGAGAATATTGTTTCACTATGGGAATCACTTGGGGTCCATAGAAGTTTGTAGAGAGATTAAATAACATTAGAAATCCTAATCTATGGAATCTCAACCTACTCCTCCCATTTACTATTAGGAGACGACGTTCAAGGCTACCCAAGTGTATTTGAGTTTCCTTAGATGACTAAAAATGTGACAATAATAGTTATAAAACGTTTCTGTCTAGTGAACTGAGCCACTCGCTTCACTGAATTCGTGATGTACATTAGTTAAGTCATACATCTGTCCGTAATAATTACCACAATAGAGTTTTTCTATATGATATCAACCGATCATGTGCTTCGAACAGCCTCTATAAGAAGCCAATTATTTTCTGGAATTCGCAAGATAAAAATATGGCGCATAGACTTGTAATCTAAGAACAATTCAAATTATCGCGGGGACAGCGTATTCGTTTTTCTCCTTGCCAAAAACAGTTCATATTTTACACCATTTATATAAACTGATAAAATGCAATAAGCTTTTTTTGTCTTAGGACTTTCAAATATGTTTCCTTTGAAACCAATCTCACAATCACCGTTTTCTAGTTATTTTACAATAAAGAAACTTTTCATACTAAATTATTCAATCCATTTTTTAATGCAGATGAAACTTGAATAATGTACACTGCAAGATTGATCCGGGTTAAACATGAGAATTCAGAATATGGCTACTTGTATGTTAGTTAGTAGTTCGTTTGGAAACGTGAAAGGGTTCTTCGAAGCGAACAGCATGTTACGTTAGCGTTTTGTACAGCGAAACACAGCAGAAGAATTCCAGAATTCCAAGGCCAATTTTGCCAGTTATGTTGGCCTGGAAGTTCGTTGTAAACGGTGACGCCGAACAGCGATGAGATGTTGGTGCATATATGTGTGTTTGCATGTGTATGGATGTCCAGTTATCCGACACATCAATCGTCTTTGCAAGTACGAGGTTGCGTGAGTACGCATGCGCTTCGTGTACCTGTAAATATGTGTACAGCTGGATAGAAATCATCATGTTCTTGGCTGTACAAGTCATGTGGGTTTGTTCAAATGTGCATTCACAACCCCTTCTCTCGTTCATGTTCCTATACTCCATCCGGAATCAACTCGATCACTGCGATTAGAGATTGTGCGTCTTAGAGTAGGTTCTGTGGGTATATAATGAAAGAAGGAGTGATCTAGTGTGATTTATCAGACTAGAAAGATAATTATTCCTAGACGCTTATGGGTTAGAATACACTGAAAATGGTTCCGTTATTACTACTTTTATAAGAATGCTACATTTATTGAGAATTCTTGTTGACAGGTTATGTTTGAGCATTTTTAAAGTCAACTGTTACACATATTACGGTAACACCGAACGTTTTTACTAGGTGATATCTCATTCCCCAATGCAAAACCACTCTATATACCGGAAACCTATCGAGGAAAATACTTGGTGGTATTGGACATATTTCAGATGGATGCGCAATTACAAGAGCCTTTTGTCCTGAAGTCAAAGTGTACGTGGATTTAAATGTGCAGTTACTTGAAAGAGTTTTTGCTCATTAAATTGAGAAAATCTGGTTATATGGGGAATTCTATCGCATACAACGACAGACGGAAAGTGAAACAGGCAAATTATGATGCTATAAAGCATTGTACATCCTTGTTTGGCTGTCATTCACAACGAGAAATGAAAAGTGGAAGCAAATGCGGATGTATTCAGCGAGCCCAAATTGCATCCGACTTCCTTTGTGGGGTAAATGTTTCTTTGCAAGTACCTACAACAAAGTGCTTTTTGAGAAGTATTGTGAACGAACTAACATGGGAAACTGGGTTAAGGATAGTTAGTCCTTTCGCTTTCTGCAATGTGCTTTTGCCAAAGTTTATCCTTCTCCGTAATTCTTCGTTAATTCTCACTATCCTGTCGATTTCAGCGTTATATTATTTAGCTGAATCTAGTTACAATAAAATCACTTTCTTTGAAGAGCGGACTGCATTTGTCGAAATGCGGTTTACCTAATTAGACATCAATTTGCCGAGAACCTTTCAGCCAGGGAAGCTTTGCTTTAAATGACATTTGACCTTGCGTAGCTTTGAACGTCATTGTGTACAAGTACCCTACAGGCTATCCGCGAACTATACCATGCGTGTGCCGGGTGAGCGGGTGTGTAATAGTTCATAGAAGTTGCGTTTGTGTGTACCCTGCCCATCATTCACCCTCGTGTTCAACTCTGATGCCCTACTCATAATTCAGATGTTCACTCATCCCTACTTGATTGATTGAGCAAATTATCCATTTAATGGATCTATGCAACTTCTTGATTTTTTCATGGATTTTCTCCCCCTCTTGAAAAAGAATGCAAAATTTGTTTATCTAAACAGATGAGTAGAAAAATAATTCATGATGTCAGCATTGAATCAAGGTTTATTTATTTACGTTGGTATGCAACACTTGATAGCCTTGATCTCTTTTGATTGATCTATCTGGTTCCCAGTGGCATGAAATTTTGTGTACTTAGTGGTCACTACTCGTTATTCATACTTGTTGGCCTCAACTGTTGCAAGGATGCCTAAACTGCAGTAACGCATAATATTGGTTGGCAGGTGTACTCATCATGTATCCAAATAGATTGCCACGATGCGCTCTGTTTGTCCATGTAGGTAATGAGTGGAACAAAAATTAGCGGAAGTCAGAATAAGACCTGGTATGACGGTTTGAAAAAATCAGGCCACGATAATTGATCACACTGTTAGCGTTAGTTTTCCTGGATAGGGACCTCGGGATCATTGTAATCGATGGTTACAGATAGTGAGCGATATCACTGAGTGTAATGTGAACAATGTATCTACTCGATATCATTTCACCTTTAGTATACATGTTCCCTTCAAACTGCTTTCTGCATTCTAACCTATTCCTCTACTTGCTTATTTTAATGCACGGTTAACAGACAGCACATTCAGCTAGCGCTCGTTAGTGCATGGTAAATGTCCGTAAAAGCTGAAACTGAATGCATACAATTGGTGTTGACATACCAGTGTAATTTTGTAGCGAATGTTCATAATATTTTCGTTAGCATTTGTAAACTGTCACTGGATTTAAACCGTAATTTCAATATATATATATATATATATACAGTGGATCTCTTATGCATAGTTGACACTTATGAGGAAAGTCCAAGTTTTACATGTTATTTTACAATTATTTTCACCGAAAACGAAAATTGTACAAACAAAGTGAGCTTGCACGTGAAAACCCTTCAATTTTAGATATTCTCATCTTGACTGTGTAGATACGTTTATTTTATTCGGAGTTGCCACAACTCTCGTTCGGTTAGACCCACTGTACAATTGCCCCGATTGCAATTTATAGGGCAGTACGGCATAATAACACACAATTTTCGAGTTGTCATGTACTAAAGTTACACAAAACTCACGTAATCGTCCGGTGTTTTGGTTTTGTTCCTGTCGCAAATAGCGCATTTCATGCATCACTGGGCGTCTNTGTGTTAGCGCATCAGATCCGTCTGACACTTGGATTAGTGGATTGCTCAAAGCCCCATTCGCATTCTAAGAGGACGGGAGAGAGTGAGGCGGGTTGGTGAGTATATACGAGCCAACATGTGTTTTGCGATTTAATTTAGCAGGTATGACGTGGAGCACGCGCACGTGGACTCATGACTTACACTGATCGATCGGTTTGCAGATGTGTCGGTATCCTTGTGCTTTTTGGGTGATTTTTTCCTGTGCGCGTGTGTGATACAATCGGAAATAGCATGGGCAAGAAGAAGAGAAATCTTCATTAATGACATGACGTACAAACGCGCGAAATTCACATTCATGGTTACACCAGGCAGTGCTTAATTTCGGTCTGAGTTAAATAGCTTGTAATGCAAAGTAATGCTTTTTTGTGGAGGTCAATAATAAAACAATAAAGAATGCTGAATGTCTTGTAGTATACACAGAAACGACTAAGAGTGGAAGGTTTTAAGGCGTTCAATGCCATAACTTGTATTTTAGAAAGAAATCTCGAGAAATCTCATACAAAACAGTTCACAATGTAAATAAAAACGCGACATGTGCCATCTATTTCGGTGATTGGTTCACATCATAAAAGCTTATACCATTCAAAATAGTGGAGCCCAAGCTAGTATCAGATAGTTTAGTTTGCCCTGGATTTAGAAATGTATTCGAATTCAGTTTGCACAATGGTTTGGTGGTAATTGGAGCCCTTCATTTTCTGCCACATGCGATTTTCTACGGATAAGATTTGTTAATCGAAAAATGTGTACATGGAGGAAAACCTTTCATTGTGTCGACGATTGCATCAGTCTACTGACTGCAACATGAAGCCTAAGCCGGTATTTTATTTCTGAACTGGTCCAGTGAACATAATGTTGTTTACCACTGTTCATTGACTCTGCGATGTTTTCTGGTTTCTGATGTGCTTGTCTTTGCTTGTATTTTTAAATGTTTTATTAAACACTGTGTTACATGGGCACGAGGAACGAAAAAAGGTATTTTGGAATGTGAGAAATAGATTTTGCAGAAATTAGGTAGCCGGTCACTAGAGTGAGTGGACGTTGCTTACAAAAACAAACCTACTGAAAAATCTAATGTCAACATCAAATTCTGAAATATCACAATTATTGTTTTAAGAAAACGTTTCTTAAGCAACTCTGAAACTGACAGCTTTGACATTGAGGCGCGTAGATTAGTATGCAAACACAGAGGATGCTGAGGATGAATGCATGCATTTTCTGCAAAGATCAACAACAACAACAATATCGACAACGGTGAAGGATTGAATGACTGACGTACGACAACCGATCATGCCTTGTGCAGATGAGGAAAACCAATAGGGCGGCCAGCAAAGTGAAACTGCCCCAAATGTTCCATGTCAGGTGAGATATCACCTCATGAGCGATCTCCTTGAACATGCTTTCCATGTTGGTATCTCTGGCCTCGCCGTAGACTGTGCATAAGAGAAAAGTGAAACAAACACTGATTTACATGCATTGGGTAAAATGTCACGCCGTTGGTTTCGGCTTCTCATCGCAATCTGAATAGATTGTGGGCGTGGACGTGAGGTTACAACAATCAGTGCAAATGTGGACATGACGCGATGTGACAGGCGATAACGGCGAACAGAAGGGATGGTGCGGGGGGAGGTGGGTCAGTGGACGGGAGACCAAACATGGCACGTTTGCCAACAATGTGAACAGCAGTGGCATGCGATGAGTACGCATCACCGCTTACCACAAAACCACGGACAGGGCCAGAAGCATCACGAATGTCGAGACAAACAAAGCACCGAATATGGCCACCAGTTTCGTTTGTCTGGACAGTAAATGTTCCAAATCTTCAAACAGGAGTGAAAAACGCGTGAGAAATGGGTCAGTGTGTGCATGATTAGCAAGCCAAGCGGTTAATGCGTTGTCAGTTTGCGTTGTTTTGCAAGCAATCAGGATTTCACACCATGTGCTATGCATTGGAAATAATGAGATATTTAAAAGCTTTCTTTGGGAATATTTCAGATTTAATCACACGACAGTGAATTTGGCCCACATTCCAATTGGTTGAACAACACAGGAGTAATACAGATCTTCTACAAAACGTCTTTCGTTAGACGTCGCAAGATGAACTAAAATCCATCGGTCCATATGTTTTTGAATACCGGAATTAATTCAGTAGTTTTCGTTTAAAATACTGCTATGTGTCACATGGATTAGGCTTGCATGATTGCAACCAACTGTGAAAATTCAGTATCAAGCGATGAATGCATAAACATTTCCCATTCAACTGATATTTACACCAAACATCAGATAAACTAATGTGAAAAAGGAGCAGTTTGATTTGGTAAGAATCTGAGACATCATAATATTGTCGAATAATTCTCTGACTGCGTTCATCTAATTTTCGACGGTTATTTAGATCCCAAATTAGGTGATAATTCGTTTGATCGATCACGCCCGCTTTCATCCTAATAACAAACAGTTTCTGGAAAATTGATGATCTAATTTGAATGACACATATATGGACCAGTGTGGCGAAACGGACACTGCACTGATTCCATTAATGATCTATTAGCAAATACCCGTTGTTTGATCTTCACCTAGGTACCAAACGTTATCAATCGTTTGGTTTGTACTCCCATGCTCTTTGAAATTCAGTTCTCACAGATAAGCGTTATGGGCTTATTTGGGGACACTCGAATAAAGTATTCAGTTTTCCGTTACATATTTATCGGAAAAAATATAACTATAGTCGAACAAGGTAAGCTATCAAATGAACATTTTTTGTTTGGTCAAAGGTCGGCAAACTGTCACAGGAGAAGAAACAAACCGTGGTCAAAATGCAATACAGAAACAATACAGACACAACTGCTCGCCGAATTGATCAGGTGAACAACACACAAAGGCACACACACACACACGTCCCATAAGTGTGACCTACGTTTGTATTCCTCCCTATCAACTGCTGTGCGTTCACACCGGGTTCCATAGTACGGGGTGTGACAGCTGAGCACGGCAACGAGCGTGATCGAGGCGACAAGGCCAGGCGATAAGCGGAGGTGAGACAGCAAGCGGTGTGTTGACAAATGATGTGCGCACCGCAGNCCGCAGAATGTGAAGCAAAGGCGAACGACCGAGAGAGAGAGAAACAATGGGGTTGTATTCGGTGAGTAAGTTAGCCCGGGGGGGGGATAGTCACGAATTAATTCGGGGCGGTGTGATGAATTAGATTGGGTTAACACGGTCAGTTTAGTTGATAACATCATAATCAACAAAACTATCTTTGGTTGGGGTTCGCACAGCATCCGCCGGAAAAGAACGGAAAAGCAGGTTAGATGATCAGAGGAAGTATGCCAAGAGGTTATATGGAATGACACCAAATTCGGAAGTAGAAAATGGGCGAAACAACCGTAAATGCATACCCAATAGTCCAGCTATGTGGAAGTTGCACTGATCGCCAAAATACTGCGGGGGGCATCTGAATTGTTTCGGACAAAACATGAATAATACATTTATCGAATCAGACTTTGCGGAAACGCAAACAACCTTGCATGAATAATCAATATTTTCAGTTCTCATTTTGTTGAAGAGAAAACTAGAAAGAGTTACCCAGTAGCATGGTAACCGACTAAAAGAGCCATGCAACCATAACTAATTCGCGGAATCCGAGAAACTTCGTTTGCTCAGTCTATCTGGAAGAGGTTTTTGAAACTTGAACACTACAGTCACCTTTTAAGCGAGGGATACAGCCAGATTAGTCGGGCACCGGCTCTCGTTGGTTAGCTGCGTTGACACATCGTGAACTGATAGTCAAACCTGGCTGGTGAAAATCCGTTTGGGAATCCCTACTATGTGACACTGTTTTCTCATTTCAATCGGTCGATTTGTTAAGTATTTACTTTAAAAAGTACTAAGCTGAATTTGCTATTCCACCAGAATGAGTTCAAAATAGTAATCGCCTAAAGAATAAAACCCCATTTCTTGTTAGTAACCGATCGAGAGTATTGAACTTACCTGCATTGAAAAACATTTCGATCGGCTTTGAACATGTAACATTGGCCACCATTCATACAGTAATATCGTTGATCTTCTGTACATGGCACGAGTTCGTTATCTGCAAACAAAGACAAAATATGGTGAGGTTGCAGATTAGACGCTTAAATTGAGAAATTCATAAATATTATTGCCATCAAATGTGATCAATGGATTCCAAAGGTATGGTCGAATAATTAACTCTCTTCAACTGTATTTATTTTGATGTTATCTACCCCCTCCACCCATTCACGTGAAACAAGTTGCATGTGTAAATGAATTTCTCGTGCTAGACTATTTCCAGTGTCAAACTGTTCACTGATTTCGCTCACGGACCGGAAATCAAATTAGACATACCGATTGTAATTCCACCCGCATCCAGACCTCATTTTCCTTTCCTTTGATTATCCGTGATGATTGGAGACAATATTTGACAACTAGAGACCTAACTGATACTCATTGCTGCAGCAAGACATTTTGAAAACCTGTAGCTCCCATCATCGCATGATATAACTGTAGAAAACAACGCTCAGCTTATAAGGAGTTGATAAACTATATAGCTATCTCACAATAGACGTTGTCTGCAAAGTAGCGTATAGATAAGTGGAAGATAAGAGCTTTAAACACATTCAGGGGGCGGTTGCAATAGGCCCAGTTCACTAATAGGGTACTGGAGTGTATGTATGCAGAAGTCCATTGGAACAATAACTTCACAACTCTACGTTTATTTCTCACAGCCCCTGAGCTCTTTTTCTGAAACTGGTTAATTAGTACATCTTCTTGCAAAGTCAAGTACACCAGTGAGCCTAGCTGACTCCTTACACGATTAATTTATGCGACTGTTCTTAAACACCATACCCAAATTTTTATCTCTTGGTATCTGTTAATCACGGGATTCGATTGAAATCAGTTGAAATACAGCCAAGGAAATCGTATTTGAGTGCATTTTCAGCGGTAATGAATCTATGGAACCCAATATGGAAACCCAATATAACTCTAAACTAGCCACTGAGATTCCTGATTATCTCCTAACAAAAATGAAGTGCGGTTGAACTTTTAGGGATGCATGGGTGTGCCTGGGGGGGGGGGGCTTATCTGTCAACAGTTTAACTCTTTTTCTACTATTTTCAATTTGTTGAACTACCACAGTTAAAGAATAGTTTACCACAGTTACCACTCTGTTTTGCAATCGGTTGTCTCATGTAGTGTAAGGTTTGTTGGTCACAGCACCAAATGAGAAAATGTTACCCGACTGGGTATAGGCGAAGATTGATGAAGTTAGTTGCGGGCGTCGGCGAAACATTATTGATTGAGACTGTTCAGGTGGAGGGACCTATCCGTGCACTGTCAGCGGGCCGATTTCGGGATCAGATGCTTATCTACAGTGGAAACTTCATTAGCTTAACCAACCTCCCTAGTATCCAAACCAAAGCGTTTGTGAGTTTCCCACTTTTCTTGTTGACCTGCAGCCGAATTATTACCACTGAATATCCCAGGTGACGATTCACACCTCATCGAATATGCAGCCCGAACAAATGCATTGAAGTTTTGTTTTCCATTAACCCTAGGCCTTTCTGGTTCATCTGTTCCCAATATCTTAGCCAATAACTTGAGAGTTGAAAGGTCACCACACTTCACATATCGTGGAAGTTTCCCATCTGCTGACCTCAAATGGTCCTACCACGTAGAGCAAACATTTTTTAAAGTCATAAATTCTGATCATTTATATTTCACGCCTTCGGCATCTCAGAATGCCCCTGCACGTCATTTCAAAATTTACTTTCTCTTGTGTGTTATGACTTAGGACATAATGCTCACCCGTTATCTTCCCCGGTCTACTGTCTAAGGATTTCATATTAATTTGACGCTCTCTGAAAAGCATCTCTAGATATGGATCTGTGTCCTATGACGAACTTGTCGATTCCATTGTCAACCAACATTTGAAGGCGTGTGGCCATCAATATGATTCTATCTTGTCTGATGCATCACATCTTTCACACTCAGCTCTATCCAATTCCATTTCAACTTCTGTCACCCGCAATAAATTTAAATGTTTATATACTCGTACCACTGCTTTTCACAACTCCGTTGTACCTTACCTTTCACGCTTGTTGGTTTCTGGGCAGCGAATATCAAAAGAACTTATACACAGTCTAATGTAAATTTTCCCGTTCTAATTTTTCTCATTTTCACGCGTTCTCAGTGTCCTCTTCAATATCATCTAAGTAACTATTTGTCATATCTTTAAACACATTTTTGATACCGTGTATACCAAATCAAAAGGGATAGCATTCTTTTCTCTGAAAATTCTCTCCACATTGGATGGAGACCCTAGACTTCAAACCAAGTCAAACCAAGTCAAAAATAGCTTTATTCATCGTAATGGATAGATTCTCAGCTTCTTGCACTCCAGGAACATTTGCCGTCGCATAAAGTCACAAAAAAATGAGAAAAACACCATCGTCAATTCAAAGAAAAGAAAATGTGGCGTAAACTGTTTGAAAATGAATATATACTGCGTAGGAATTTCAAAATGTCCTCTCTAACGGATGCCTTTTAAGCCAGAAATCTCGAAAGATAGGGGATGATGGACAAACAATAGGCAGTGGTACTAGCAAACACCAGTTTATAACGACATCTTGTGACAGAAGTGGATATGCATTGTTTGAGTTCTGTGTGTAATGGGTGACTGGTGTCTGACAGAATATTGTTACAGAAGTTATCGCAAGAGGTAAAATGTTTATCGGCGATAAAGTTAAGCAAGTGCAAATAGGGAATACCGCTTATGAGAGAAATAATTTTCAATAGACCGGCGTAGAATTGTGTAATCTTTAGCTCTAAGACCGGCAAATAAAACTGGGGAGCAGTAGAGAACATGTATTACAACATAAGAATATACAAATTAGGTTAGTAAATACAATGGAACTTTCAAAGAACGCAAGCGGGTAATAGAGAAACACAATCGTCGAATCTTTAAAAAAGTAGAAGTTAAGTGTGAGGTACAGGTGAGACCTCGACAGATAGTGACATCGAGGTATTGTAGAGAGTTTACTTAGGGAACATGCTGGTTGTCAACATAGAGTGCAGAACAATTTCTTTAAAAGGAATGTAGCCGTTCTCCTTTGGCGAGCGAAAAGATGACATCACTACATCTAGATGCATTGAGAGATAACTTGGAAGATGAAAGCCATAAGCTTGAGGCAGATAAACTGATTTGAAGATGTGAGAAGCGGAAATCACCTTGGAATTTGGAACCAATTCTGACATCATCAGCATACTTAATAAGAAGATCATTTTGGTTCGTGAGACGGTCAAGAATATAGAAAGAGAAAAGAAAGGGAGACAAAATTGCTCCCTGGAGTTGACTGGTAGGGAATCAGAGGTTTTTCCAAAATCTTTGTGAATTGGGTTCTACCAGCAAAATAATCTTGGAGTGGGGAGAGGACAGTTCAGCACCTTGGAATAGAGACAAAAGCCTGCTCCTGTCAACACAGTTAAAAGCATTACTATAGTCAATAAAACACACACGAAATGCCCTGCCGTGCATGTCTAGGGATCGTAAAACTGAGTTTACCAAATGAGCGAGATCATCTAAGACAGAACGTTATTTGCGATAAGCGAATTGGTTTTCATCTAGCTGCCCAGTATTGGGGATAATGATACTGAGCATAAACTTTTCGAAAATGTTTAGTAAAATAGGCGATTGGTCGTAGTTTCCCTGCTTCTTTTTTGGGGACTGGTGTAATGCTCACAGGTCTCCAGCAGTCGACAATTTTTTGTTCCTCAAAGCAGCGGTTGAAAATACCAGCAAGTGGCTCCGCTAGATAATGCGCACATTCCCTGAGGATGACTGGAAACAGTCCGTCAGGACCGGAAGCTTTTGATATTTTTAGGCACTTCAGTTGTGCACGCGCCTGATCAGAATTGACACGTGAAATTTCACGATGGTCAACTGATTGGAAATAAGGATGCAATACTTCAGTTTCAGTCGACGTGGAAAACATGTAATTCAGTTCATCTGCTGTGCGTTGGAGCCCGCGTAGTCTCATTTTGGTTCCACAAAGTGTTTTCATAGCGCTTCAGAATTGCTTGTAATTACGGTCTCCTAGAAGGGTTTCAATGTGGAGTTTATCAAGATTTTGGATCTCATTCTTTATTCGCACTGACGTTCGTTTAACTAAAGGTCGACCCACTAGACTTGACTAGCCAGTAATCTGAATGATCTTCCACGAAGCACACCACCTGGTCACTTGGCGTCTGGGGTACCATCTGCGTGGAACGTGCTCAGTAACATCCAGGTATCCAGTTCTCACCACACGCGGGTTCGTGAAATAACACTCGGTATCCTATGCTGTCCCATTATTCGGGCATACATTCAAATCGTGTTATGCAGGTCAGCTGATACGTTATGAAATGTAAGACGAAATATTTGATGAAAGATTAGTGTTTGTTGGTTCGGTTCGTCAAAAATCAAACAGTCTCAAATTTTCTCACCGACCAGTGACTATGGTTGCTATTTATATGACATTGTACATCGTGGTCCAGTTGAATACAGATTGAACGCACTGTCCCAGCAAGTGATTTATGTGGATCAAAAGACCAAAAAGGAATACAACTTTGCACACTTCCGTGTGGACAGTCTCTATATTTTCAACACATTTGACTCACTCATGAGCTGTTGTTCTTCTTTGTCCGACTGTGCCACTGAAAAATAGATCAATAGTAATAACATTGTGAAGCGAAAAACAGTTTTACATCAAGGTCAGAAGGTAACAGAAAAAAAACATTTTGTATTACATTGAACATGTGGTTTGAAAAATCTGGGCGCTTTACATGTGCTGTTTTGGTGTTTTGGCTTTGTTTAGCATGTGTTGCCATCAGGACGAAGAAAGCGGTGCTCCTGGGGATAGATTAAATCTATACTGTAGATAGGAAGCCACGGGACAGAAGTATTTCAGCATTGGTTGATTAAGTTATGATAGTCTATTGTGATTCGCTGGTAATCAAACGCTAGACGAGTGTTTTATCCAAGTGATTTGATCATCAGTTTTCTTCGTTGCCGTAATAAAAGTGGTTATCATACGTATGACAAAACGATGCATTATGCTAAGCGTCATCACAATTTGGCGGATTGTGGACAGCTCACAACACGCAAAGAATCATCCTCTGCTTCTTAACGAAACCGTGACCAAAGAATGTAGTTTACACGGTTTAGCTCATTTCAATTTCTTCGAACAAGATGGGAAGGCGCGACAACTCCTGCCACAGTTTGATCTTACCGAACGAGTTCAATTACGCGAACAGATGGGAGTCTGTGTGAGTTAATCCAGACTGTGCGAAGCCAACTGAGTGGGGCATTTTCAATCTCCATACTTCCACATATACACACACGCACAAGACACCTCTCCCCTATCTCTAGCATCCGGGCCCACATGACCCGAGCGTATCGGCCTATTGAAACTCAGGGAGTTATAATCCTCCAGTGAAACCGAGAAAAGTAGACGTAAATCTTGTGAAGCGCGAGTGTGTTTGTGTGATTGTGATTAGATGTGATTAGATTAGAGACACAATCGATGTTTGCTTAGTAATTTATGCAAACACTGACAAATCGTCGGGTTTGCGTAAACTGCCGTCTTATGCGTCGGTTAGATAGATTGTGAAGCTAACCAACGCTGTGGATCCTTAATTGGCAGTTGTTTCTTCGGGCGACCATTCACCAAATCAGGCGAGTGTCCTTTCGCACATGCAACCTGATCTATGCTAGCCAAAACCACCCGCGGTAGAAGGCTGTACAGGGTGGGGTGTAGTGAAGTGGAGTGGAATCTGGTTCAATGAATCGCTATCTGGCATCAGTGCGGATGAAGTGAGTGAAACCGG